GCCTGGCAAATCCGATGTGTCCAGCTATACATGTGGGGTGAAAGAAGGTAACAAAGAAATAGGGGTTGGTCCAAAAAGTAGGAAAGAAGTATTTGTTTTATGATCTCCTAAGGGGTAATTTGTGAAAGTAGAGCTCATAGGGCTAAAATTTTGTCCGTTTGACTCTATCTTGCATCGTTTGGGCGCTAGAGTGCGTTTTTTTGGACGAAAATACGGCGAAAATGACCACGTTGCACATAAAGGCGTACTAGGAGGCGTCCAATCGTAAAATGACGGAGGAAGCACCCCCCCCCCCCCCAAAAAAAAAAGCAACACATTTTAAATCGGGAACTATCCTCGGATTTGCCATATCATAACATTGAAAACAATTGCAAAAAGTCAAGTTTTAAGATTGTTAGAAAAACAATACAATCTACAAACTGCGCGGGTTCATTTTTTTAATTCTTAAGCAAAACAGAAGGGTGGGGTGTAGTCACGGTGTTGCCCTGTTACTGTCTTTTGTCATATCCAGGGAACAAATTTCTAGGGCCGCAGGCTCCCCGCCGGACGCGTTAGTTTACTCGAATATGCACAGTGATTTACTGGTCACATTATTCATTTGATTATGCTCTTCATCAAAAAGCGAGACTGAAATGGTCGGGCCACAGGGCCGACCTTCGCCGCCGGCAGGCTAAGCAGGCCCGGCCCCTGCCGAACGGAGTTGCCGGCGCAGCGAAGTGGAGCTGGCAACTCCGTTTGGCAGAAAGGCGGGCCTTCTTGTTAAACATTGCCCATGCGTTAGAGACTACGACTAACTCAAAACAGCAGCCCTTCCTCCTCAAACGTTGCTTAGATAACAATTTTTACATTTATTGCAAAATGCCTTGTGCTTCCCGTGATGCTTATGACGAAGACGTGCGTGACGCGCAGTGACGCTCAGCGCAATAAACGTATAATAAACGTAAGTTATTCTGTCATCTTCAAAGTTCATCTTAAGGTTAGCGGCGACGCATATTTATTTCATTTTGAGGAAAACCAGACTCGAGCGCTAATATATAAAGAGCGTTGCGGCCCCTTTTTCCCAGAACTAAATTCCCAATTTATGAGGTCCCAAAATTTTGTTTCCCAAATCCTATTATCTCAATATGAATATCCCAATCGTAAAGTCCCAAATCGATATGCCAAATCATTCCCAAAACTATTTTCCCGAAGGCCTTATTTGCCTTTCCCATTTAAACAGGAGAGGCCATATGTGCCATTGTTGCATTGTTGCGAGGAGGCCACGGGAGACACTTGCCACACTTGCCTCGAGACAGCTGCAAGGGAGGCATGGATCCAGAAATTATAACGTCACGTCGTGGGGGCTGGGCAATAATAGGCAATAAAATATTAAAAGAAAAACGTGAAATTACGTTAAAAACCCCTTTTAAATTGATTCTGAGTTGTCAAATAAAACGGTTCTTCTCGCCCGCAACTCCAGCTTACAGTGGACTAACTCAAATGTAGCATACTACAAAATCTACAAGTACTTCTACCTTTATCGTTGCTTTGCATTGATACACCAAATCGACCTATTTTTTTTCTCATCATCTGATCTAGAATTCAAATATGGAGTCAAAAAGTGTTCTCGCTCGTTTTGATTTTGTCGAGGGGCTAATCACTCCGTGAAAATGCGTAACCCTCAACTTTTCACTTTTCCACTTTTATTCACTTTTTCACCGTTTTACAGCGTTTACTTCATTTCTATGCCTATATCCCCTCTATTTTATTCATTTTTGATCTGATCAACGCACGATAAGTCGCTTTTGTGGACATTTTCTTTCAGTTTTCATCACTTTCTGTCAACTTTTTGCCACTTTCACTTTAACTTTTATGGAAATGTGTATACCTACTTTCCGTAGTGATTACCCCCTCGGCTTTTGTACAAAAACATCTCCAGAATTTCACCGTATTTCCATTATGAACATGTTAATTGCGATTTAGGAGGGCTTTCTTCCAATTATCTGATAAATTTGCGGGCATCTGAGTGTCATTGACTCATAACACCCAAATTTCGAAAACTGAAAAATGTAACACGCCCCTAGTAGGTAGGCAACTTCCATAACTTCCCACTCCCGCCCCTGTATTGCGGGAGTCGCGATTTTTGAGGTACCAACAGCATGTAAGACATTGCTATCTTGACTGTGATACCCAATGGTTGGTAGACCGCGCATGCGCCCTTATGTACTGCCCATTTATTGCCGTTGGCAACCGTCTCCTCTTCTTACCACACCGCTTGTCAACTAGCGGGTTATGACCGCAGAGTTGGCCTCGAAATCTTGGTTTACGCAATTTAGAATATCCTAGCCCACATTAAAAAAAAAATGAAATTGATTCGGGTTTGTTCAGCAAATCTAATTTGGATCGGAACGGTTCGTCAGCACGTTCTTTAAAATTACACCTCGGTGTCCACAAGATTACACGAATTATCGGTAAAGTCACTAATTTTGTTTACACTAAAACTACTCGGGCCGATATGGCGAATACATTACTTTCCAATACAGTCAGATCCTTCCCACGCATCCTAGGTTTTAGTTATAATTTTAATATTCGGACACAACTTAAAAAAGTTCGGAGGGTTTCTTGGAGGACACCTTTAGAAAGCATTTTGGAATACTAAGATTTTTTGGTAATTGTATACAACAGTGACTCCACGAGCTGGAGTCACTCAAGTATAGCATCGGAAAGGAATTTTTGAGTAGAATCCACTCTTTATATATTGGCGCTCGAGTCTGGTTTTCCTCAAAATTAAATATGCGTCGGCGGTGACCTTCAGATGCACTTTGAATATGATAGAATAACTTACGTTTACTGCTAGTCCTGACATTGATCGTTACGGCTGGGGTTTTTTAGCCCGCCCCTCTGCTTTTAAAAAAGCATTATTAGCCCGCCCTTCTGCTTTTAAGAAAGCATTAACGTGGGCTTATGCAACCGCTCTCGTGTCCAGTCCGTCTGTCTGTCCGTCGTCCGTGTAAGAGGAAGGAGATGAGCTAGAGGTCTGCGAATTTCAGGGTATCTTAGGGGTTACTCCTGGACAACGAAACGCCTGGTGCAAATCCTGGCAACCACCCCTAAGGGGGTGAAAGAAGGTAACAAAGAAATAGGGGTTGGTCCAAAAAGTAGGAAAGAAGTATTTGTTTTATGATCTCCTAAGGGGTAATTTGTGAAAGTAGAGCTCATAGGGCTAAAATTTTGTCCGTTTGACTCTATCTTGCATCGTTTGGGCGCTAGAGTGCGTTTTTTTGGACGAAAATACGGCGAAAATGACCACGTTGCACATAAAGGCGTACTAGGAGGCGTCCAATCGTAAAATGACGGAGGAAGCCCCCCCCCCCCCCCAAAAAAAAAAGCAACACATTTTAAATCGGGAACTATCCTCGGATTTGCCATATCATAACATTGAAAACAATTGCAAAAAGTCAAGTTTTAAGATTGTTAGAAAAACAATACAATCTACAAACTGCGCGGGTTCATTTTTTTAATTCTTAAGCAAAACAGAAGGGTGGGGTGTAGTCACGGTGTTGCCCTGTTACTGTCTTTTGTCATATCCAGGGAACAAATTTCTAGGGCCGCAGGCTCCCCGCCGGACGCGTTAGTTTACTCGAATATGCACAGTGATTTACTGGTCACATTATTCATTTGATTATGCTCTTCATCAAAAAGCGAGACTGAAATGGTCGGGCCACAGGGCCGACCTTCGCCGCCGGCAGGCTAAGCAGGCCCGGCCCCTGCCGAACGGAGTTGCCGGCGCAGCGAAGTGGAGCTGGCAACTCCGTTTGGCAGAAGGGCGGGCCTTCTTGTTAAACATTGCCCATGCGTTAGAGACTACGACTAACTCAAAACAGCAGCCCTTCCTCCTCAAACGTTGCTTAGATAACAATTTTTACATTTATTGCAAAATGCCTTGTGCTTCCCGTGATGCTTATGACGAAGACGTGCGTGACGCGCAGTGACGCTCAGCGCAATAAACGTATAATAAACGTAAGTTATTCTGTCATCTTCAAAGTTCATCTTAAGGTTAGCGGCGACGCATATTTATTTCATTTTGAGGAAAACCAGACTCGAGCGCTAATATATAAAGAGCGTTGCGGCCCCTTTTTCCCAGAACTAAATTCCCAATTTATGAGGTCCCAAAATTTTGTTTCCCAAATCCTATTATCTCAATATGAATATCCCAATCGTAAAGTCCCAAATCGATATGCCAAATCATTCCCAAAACTATTTTCCCGAAGGCCTTATTTGCCTTTCCCATTTAAACAGGAGAGGCCATATGTGCCATTGTTGCATTGTTGCGAGGAGGCCACGGGAGACACTTGCCACACTTGCCTCGAGACAGCTGCAAGGGAGGCATGGATCCAGAAATTATAACGTCACGTCGTGGGGGCTCGAAACTTACGTACGACGGTGATATATTTTATAGAAGAGATTCAAACAGCTGGAAAAAATACTGGCAGTGCCAGCGGTTTTGGGGAAGGCTACTGATTTGGGAAAATAATATAACAGGAAATTAATAGGATGGGTAAAACAAAATTTTGGAATTATTGCTTTTGGGAAGGCTAATTGGGAATATAAATCGTAAGAAAATTTTATGTTAGGAAAATGTGATTTGAAAAAGGGGGCTGTAACCTATAAAGATTTTTCCTGATTCTACTCAAAATTCCCTTCCCAATGCACTGTAAAAATTAGTTGTTAAAAAACAGCTCAGTTGTTGACCAACAGCTCAGTTGTTCGAGAAAAACAGAAGTTGCTGAAAAGCAACTACGTTTGTTGTCAATGCATTGTTAATATTGGACTATTGGGCACCATTTTGTTTTTACTCACTTTTTTTATTTCTGTAACTGGACAACTTTTGCTGTTTATTGACAAACGAAGCTGTTGTACAGCAACACGAGTCAGTTAAAAACTTAACAACGAATTTGTTAAGTGACAACAATTTTTTTTTACAGTAAATGGTATACTTCAGTGACTGCAGCTCGAGGAGTCACTGTTGTATACGATTAACTATTTTTTTCTTGTAATTCTAGCAAGAATTTGTCATCATACACAATTGTGTAATATATTATCACTCTTACACTGAATCGTCATGTGACAAAAAATATCGTGACGAATAGTTGTCACAAGGGTTGAGATGAACCAGAATCGTCACTTTGTGACGAACCATTCGTCACTTGTGATCACCTTTTCGTCAACCGAGTTAAATAAAACATTCGTCACCTAACAAAATAACTGTCACAAACCTGGAAGCAAATAAGCGCTCATCGTTGGTCTCCTGATGCCAGCATGACCCCGTTCAGATAGCCTCGGTAGCCGTGTGGTTAAAGGACGCTTGTTTCCACACCAAAGATCCCAGGTTCGATTCCCATCGTACCGAATTTATCTTTTCCAGTTATGTGACAACATATTCATTTCACAAGCTTTGACGATTGTTTTGTCACGTGACGAAACAATCATCTGACCACTTGTGATAAACCATTTATTAGTAAAATTAAGGAGTGACTTTTTTGTAAAGTGATGACTTAAAGTTTTACAGTGTACGGAGTCATGGTGGCCTCCGGAAAAACGCGTATTGAAGGAATTTTGACAGTAAACTAGTTATCAAACAAATCTGAAGACTGCCAAACTTCATTTTTACAAGCAAGGCTCACGAACAATTTAATACTGGGAATTCTTCCGGAAATAACCGGAAACTTCGCTGTAAAATGCTGCTGTGTTTCACAGAACGCTTCATTGCTTGTAACTTTAGCGAACTTTAGGGTGTCCAGCTTTTTGAAAAAAGTCCGAATGTTTTTCCACGCCCAAGCTTTTTGAATTCTTTATCGAAAATGAAGATTTACGTGTCTCGGCGATTTCCTGATTTCTCAAAATTGGTGGATGCGCAACGGTCTCAAAGTTTTGCAGTGGTGACGATTTACTTTAAAAAACTGTAACTTCATTAAAAAATCGGTCGATTTTCGTCGTTCAAAGCTCTATTTGATTCTTTTGAGTATTTTTCAGAATGCAACAGGGGCAACCGCCTCGAGGTGGCAGAACGGGCGTTAAAGGGGCCGGAACGTGCAAAACACGCCCCAAAACCCGTTTTCACGCACATTTTTATGCCATACGTGTCCCCGGCATAGTAAACATAAAGTCTCTTGTGCTTATTTTTATTAAAACATGCCCACAGAGTACGCCTGCCTGTAATCTTGGATGCCTACCACACAGGGGCAGCCAAAATGCTTTTTTTGTTTGATGATCTAATTTTCTTCAAAACTCCGAACGCATTGAATTGCCTGCTCATGGAGGCAGTCTTGGTATTATCTCAATCGGGAAATCGCCGAGACAGGTAAATCTTTATTTTCTATAAAGAATCCAAAAAGCTTGGGCGCGGAAAAACATTCGGACTTTTTTCAAAAAGCGGGACACTCTACTGTAACGTAAATATTCAGTTAAACGCGTTTTCTTTTCAGTCAGGGGTCTGCAGTAATAAGGACGCTGCACGTCAGTGCTAGTGGCTGCCATTCTGCAAGTGATGGCACTGCTAGAAGAAACGTTTCTGCCGATCTACCCTCAACAGGACGTGGTCCTGTTGCCGATGATCCACCAGCTTGCAGCCCCAAACGCGCAGGAGCAGCGTATGCGCCCCAAAAGGAAGGCTCTATTGTTGGGTGGTGCAGCAATGCCAGCTGCAGTGAGTCATTCACCTCCTGGGAGGACTTCGTCGAGCACTACCGAGCGGCTCACCACGTCGCAAGACCCGGTTCCATTCTCTGCCCACTTTGCCTGGCAAATCCGATGTGTCCAGCTATACATGTGGAGATGCACAGCGGAGTGGCAAACAAGTACAACTGCAGGAGCTGTTCTGCAAAGCTTCTTGGAACCCTTAAGCTAAAGTTGCACATGTACGACTTTCACCGCGTAAGCGAGTAGGATAGTGGTCAAAATTTATTCGCGATCGTCGGTTACAGTGACAAGGCCAAGTTAAGTGATTGGTAGATAAAACAGACGAAAAGAGCAGCCACCCGACAAAACTATATTACTGTATTATCAAAATGGTGCTACAATGTAAATGTGTCCTGCCAACAAGTTTATTGTGCTATTGTGATATTAAAAAATGTGGGAAACGTTCAATTCTAATTTCACTAGGTTGATGTACCCTAAACCACGTCTCGAGTAGGCTTCGCGATTTATCACGAAACACTGTTACGCTTGGTCGCGCCTGTCGAAGATCTACCCAGGCCTGCGGCGCTGACACCCTAGTGACCAGAGTCGTAAAGAGACCTTTAGCTTCAAAAAGCACAAATTTTAGTCGAAAACTCCCTCTAGCACTTAAACGGATTTCTTTGACGACAATTACGTCAGAGGGCGTCGTCTTGGGGATCGTCGCGCAAAGGCCAAGGTACCCGCCAGCACTTTGGAACTAGCGCCATGCTGCCTTGGAGGGTAAACCCCCGGACCAACAACTTGACGGTAGTGCTCGATTTGTTAGAGATTGAACGGGATGTGAAACCAAGTGGATTAGGATCTGCGCTCCTACCCGACGCCACGGTATGCTATCGGTTCGCGGAGGGTCGCGCTCGGTGCGCCAATGGGTCGCCGAGGTTTGTCAGGCTCCTGAGCGACGTATAGCCAAGGATCGCCGGAGGTTCGAGCCGAAGCGAACCCGTCATCGGGTCAATCGGGTCGCTCTATGCGCTGACAGAGCGAACTAAGTATGCTTTCATAACACTCCGAGACGAACATGAGCAACTCCACTACGCTTTTGATTCGCCTGGTCAGCCAGCCGTCGTCGGGTATTTTTCCTTCCCAGGAAACCCCGGCTGGGCGCTGGCGCTAATCCGTAGTCCGGCGCACTTGCCAGCAGAAGAGGAGCAGATGGGGCGGCCCCGGGACGCTCGGAGTACCTGAGGGCTCGCTAGCAGTGCACACTTTGCAGCTGGACACCACGATTACATCAGTCTGCGAGTGGGGGCCGCCGAGGGAGGACGTGTGTGTTCGTCAAGTCAGAACAGCGCACTGCGGCTGTGTGATTTTGCCAACATTTTTTGTGCTCAACTTGTCCGCAGTTGCAGATATTTAACTCTGGATTGTCGACTTAGAGGACCCGCCCGCAGTGCAGTCGATGTTACCCTTGAAAATCTTCTAAACTTCCTGTTTACATCTTCACTGGTAAAACAAATGTAGAAAGTTGACACCAAATGCTGTGCAGTATCAATTGTGCCAAAACTAAACACTTCATGATGTCGATCTGAACTGGACGTCAATTGGTGTGTAAACTTTTGGATGGTAGGCTCCAAGATGTTCTGGGCTGATGCATAACTTAGTTGTCGAGGAACTTGGAATAAATTGGAAGCTGGATAATTGATTGGCGATGTTCACTCTTTAATGGTGTAAGTCAGACTGAGGATCACTATAGGTATTGACAGTAAGCAAGGTGGGTGTGTGCGAATAAGAATATGATGAGTGGATATAATGCAACATCTCCCCCAGATTTTATGAATTTGAGATAGCGAGGAGAAAAATCTTTGTTCAAATACAATGTAAATTAATCATCGCACACAATAGGTTACACCACACCAAAACAGAATATATAATACAAGTATAAGTCTTACGAACTATGGTGAATACATAACATATTTGGTCATGAAATGTGAAAATAAATTGACACATGATTAAATAGAATTAGAGAAAAATTGATGACATTTTATAAAGTTAAATTGATGGTAGTCAATAGATTGAGAAATTAACACATCAGTTTAAAAAATATCACAATTTGATAACACAAGTAGTTACAATAAAATTGAAGACAAATCAGGCTTGAGAAAAAAATGATTATCACAGTTATATAGGAAAACTGTTACATAGCATACTCACAGTAACTATTATCACAAAAATATTTTTTCTTCTTCATTATTCTAGATGATTGTCTTAAAGTTTGTTTTGGTATTTCTTCTTCGTCATCCTCACTGCTGCTGGAGTATGGCGTTTCATATAGTTCAGAGCTTTCATCATCAGTAGAGTCATAAAAAACTTCTTCCGTACTATTGTTTTCGTCTTCAAAAAAGCTGGCTGCTGAGTTTTCTGAAATATTTTCATTTAGATTTTCATGAGAACTGGAGGCTGAGTACTCTGCATCACTACACGCAGAAAAAAAAATCGTGGCTCTGCTGAGTTTTTAGCACCGGGGCTAAAAAATTAACTGAATAGACTGGGCTAATTTATTTAGCACCAGGGCTAATTTTTTAGCCATCTAGTAAACCACAACGCTTATTAACCGTGTAGCTAATGTCATTTCGTTGTGTATATTACAGACATGCCCTCCTCCGTAAGGTATAGGACCTTTCGTCCATACCTTAGAGATGAAAGCATGTCTGTAATATGGATCAAATTGCCTGCAATACGGACAGTTTTATCCATATTATGGATAATTTGTGATCCATAGTACGTTAGCACAAAATTATCCGGAAGCGTGTCCATAAGGAAATGAGAGTGTAGAATTACGGTTTCCATCAGAGTTAGAGTCTGAGTCTTCATCAGAAGTGCTACTTGAATCTTCATCACTTCTTGAGTCTGAATCTGGCGGGTTGTCTTGTATCGGGATTTGCACTCTTGTTTTAGCTAAAGCTTCTTCTAAATCATAAACAGTGCACACAGTAGCCTTGGCCTTTTCTTTGTTTTCTAAGTCTTTAGTTCTTCGTATGTGCCTTGATGTTCTGACATACTGTCTTCCTTCTGATTCTACCGTATATGATATTGGGGTGGCATTTTTACTGATGACCGTCCTGGGTTTCCATTTGTCTCCATACTTCATTTGAACAGATTGTTTGGGCTTGAATGAAACAGTTTTCTTGGAAGCTGACTTGTTATAGTGATTTGAAGCTACTTCTTGACTGTGGACAAGCTTCTCAAAAATTTTCTGGCTGGATTACTTTTTTTAATTACAGGAATTTTTGTCTTGAGACGACGGCTGTTCAGTAGTTGAGCTGGTGATGCATTGGGACTATTGACTTAACTGTTTTTATAATTTAGTAAAGCAATTTCAACTTGAGCGTTGTCTTCATTGCATTTTTGAAGGATGTTTCTTGCTACACCAAAAAATCGTTCAATTTGACCATTCGATTGAGGGTAATTTGGAGAACTAAATACAAGTTGGAATGACATATCTTTGGAAAACTCACGGCACTCTTTAGAATTAAAAGGATTATTGTCACAGTAAATAATGTCTGGAATTCCTTGTCTACTGAACAATTGAAGCAGTTGCAGGTTGATTTGCTTTGCATGCTTACTTGGTGATTGAAGAATTTCTAGCCATTTTGAGAATGTCAACAACAATAAGGTAGTCCTTTGAGTTGCAATTCAAAATATCCAAAGCTAGATGAGACCAGGGTCGTGATGGAATGGATTTCTAAAATGGCGGTCTCTGGGGCCTAAACGCGAGGTCGTCCAGACATGGCGTTAGGTTTATTCGCTTTCTCACGTCAAAATCTTCCGGAAACATTCCTGAGATGGTCTCTTTCCGATCATTTTAAACTTTTCGTTATTTTTGATCAAATATTTGACAAATGCGTTAAAATTTCGGACCCTGTTTGTCCAAAATAAGTGTGCTGCGGGTTAAATCGAACATTAGGGTCTAAAGGACCCCTACCCCAAAAAATTACGCTTTTTGTATGTGTTGCCATTTTCTTTTGGCTACCGCTACGACTAGCGTACCCCCTGCCGAGGATCGACGACACGCTCGACTCGCTCCGGGGGTCGGCATTGTTTTCGTCGCTCGACCTGAGATGGGGTTACTGGAACATCCCGCTGTCAGCCTCCCGGGTCACGGTCGGTACGAGTTTAAGCGCATGCCGTTTGGGCTCTTAAACGCTCCAGCCACATTCCAGAGGCTGATGGACCGTCTCATGCCGCGCGCTCTGTCACGAGTCTACCTGGATGACGTCGTGCGTGGGAAGACCTTCGAAGAGGCGCTGTCCAGGCTCCGCGTTGTGCAGCATCGTGTGCGGCAGGCGAACTTCCTGCTCAACCCCACCAAGTGCTCCCTGTTCGCCGACCAGCTCGAGTACCTCGGCCATGTCATCTCGGAGAAAGGAGTTGCAACTGACCCGGCGAAGATCGAGAAAGTCAAGAACTGGCCAGTTCCCGCAGACAAGAGGGAGTTGTCCGCCTTCCTCGGCACGGCCCAGTACTACTCGAGGTTTGTCCATAACTTCGCGACAGTTGCAGCGCCGCTGAACCGCGTCACCCAGAAGCATGGACATCCGAGACGCAGGCGGCCTTTGAAAAGCTGCGGACGGCTCTTACATCACCACCTGTGCTGGCCTTCCCTCATCCCGACGGCGAGGACTTCCTCCTGGACTGCGACGCGTCGAACGTTGGCGTCGGCGCGGTCCTTTCGCAAGTCCAGGACGGCGAGGAAAGGGTCATCGTGTACTTCAGCAAGAGCCTTGATCGCCCACAGCGCAACTACTGTGTCACGCGCCGTGAGCTTCTTGCTGTATTTCTAGCCATCCGCCACTTCCATCCCTACCTGGCCGGCCGTCCTTTCCGTGTCCGCACCGACCACGCCGCCCTGGTGTGGCTCTGCTCCCTACGCGACACGGCCGAGGGCCAGCTCGCCCGCTTAGTGGCCGTGGTACACGTTCGAATCCATAACAATTGTGCATTTTGTGAAAGAAGCACCAAAATTTGCACAGACGTTCTTAAAGGTATAAGGAACGATTCTGTCCGAAGGTTTTTGAAAAATTTCGAACCGTTTGGTCACAATCGTTCAATTCGTACACATTGAACAAAAATGGTCAAGTAACTATAAATCACGTAAAAGTTGAGCCAGAAAGTCGTACGAAGAAGCTTTTCCGTACAAGTCGATGCCGCTGAGCAAGAATTAAGACTTAGATAGACGATTGGAACACTTTTGAACACCCTTTTGGAACATTTTCGTACATTTTCGTACGTTTTTATGTAACAGCACTAGAAACGCCGCAAATATGCTAATACCTCATTGGGATTTGTCTGACGCTACTAAAACAAACCTAGCAGGACCTACATAAACGCATAGGACGCGTGTACCAACCCGTTCCGAACACTGAACGGAACACTATTTGAACAAAAGCGTAAGAACGGCGAAGCAGGGCGTCAGACACGTCGATTCGGTGTGACTCAAGCAATCTGAAAACGAATCCGCACTCTGAAACAGCCCCTCTGTAGTCTGGGACGTGTACCAACCCCCGTTCCGAACACTGAACGGAACACTATTTGAACAAGGCGTAGGTTTTTCGAAGCCTGTCGTCATACACGTCGATTCGGTGTGACTCAAGCAATCTGAAAACGAATCCGCACACTGAAACAGCCTCTCTGCACTCTGGAACGTGTACCAACCCACGTTCCGAACAGTGAACGGAACACTATTTGAACAAGGCGTAGGTTTTTTGAATACAGTCGTCACACACGTTGATTTAGGGAGAAAGCACGATGCTAGAAAGAAATCCGGACTGTAATTTTTGGAGAGGGGGGGGGAATACCCGACATCAGTTTCTTATTTCTTTAAATTAAAATAAAAGGCTGTGTTGGCAAAACTGCGCTTTCCTTCCCTTCCCTGTGCCGCCCGCCTCGGCCTTCCCAGGCCGATTCTCAATTGTTGTCAACAACAGCTGTGCGCCTCTGTTGTGCCGTCTGCTATAGCGCGTTTGCAACTCTAGTTTTACATTCTTGCTTTAAACTTTTTGTAGAGGAAATCTGGTACGTATGACTTTAGTTGGCACATTTCCGCTGCTACGTAACGTTATATTTTGCCACAATTATATGTTTGCATTGCTGCAGATTGAGAATGGCGGGCGTGGGGGGCAAGGGCCGGGGAAGGCACAGGCTGTCTCTAGCTGGTCCCGTATCACTGTCTGAAAGCAGTTTCGAAGTAGATTGGGAAAAGTGCGTAATTTGCCAAGCAATCATTCCGTCTGAGGAACCGGAGTGTCCAGCACGAAACCCCATTATCTCAAGGAGAAACACAGGGTATCTTAGCTTTGCGGCAAAGCTCACCACCTTGGCTGAATTTAATTATACCCTGCCCTCTAATTTCAAAGTGCAAAAACTTGACAACGGAACGGGGTACAATAATACTATGTGTACAAACCGTGCTCAGTGGCACAAGTCTTGCATGGGGGCTTACCGCAACCCGACCAGGTACAACACCCTCCTTACTCGACTAAAAGAAGAAAAAGAAAAGGTTGCAGACGCTGACGCATCGTCTGCTGCGACGGACACAACATCTGAAGGTGGCCGACAAACCAGATCAGCTGGGGTGGGGCCGATACACTTAAAGGACAACATTTGTTTCTTGTGCAAGACTCCTGACTCGCTTCGAAACTTGCACTTGTGCTCTACGAAGGAAGTGCACCAAAATATAGCTGACAGTGCCAAAAAGGTGAGAGACACCGAACTTTTGGCTATCCTTGCGACAGCAGATGTAATTACGCTCGAAGCCAAATACCACCTAAAGTGCTTGTCTAAGCTTTACAATAAATCAAGGCGGCTCGATCGGAAGGAGGAAAAGAGCGACAGTGATGTTATGTGCGAAGGCATCGCATTTTCTGACTTGGCATCCTTCATTCACAGTGAGATTGCATTTTTGTTCAATTAAAACCTTGTGCTGTAAACTAAATTTGAATATGATTATTTTTGTTTTCAGGAAAAGCGGGAGAGGGGAAAGCCATGAAACTAGCAGATTTAATATCCATGTACCAAGACCGTCTGGCACAGCTTCTTGGTGTTGAGGCTGGGGTGCTCCCCCGCGTGCACAGTACCCGATTCAAAGAGCGCATTTCACATTTCACATTTCCCCAGCATCCGAGCAGACAAGGAAGGCAGAGATGTCGTCTAGCGGCACACTTCAACAAGTGTGCTTCACAACATTCATGACGAAGACCAAGACGAGGATGCCTTGGAATTTCAGCGGTTCTGCAACATTCTTTGAGAGCGGCCTATCAAGCAGGTCATATTTGGGGTCAAGCTCACCTGTCAAAGCCTTCCGTGGTCGATCCAAGAAATTGGGGTTGGAAGGGTGACACAAAGTTAGAGCCATTGTGGTCAACACTCCCGGATGTCTGGGAAAAATGCCAACTAAAAAAAAAGTGTCACTGCAAGAAGATGTGCACAGCATCCAGATGCCCGTGCAAAATAGCTGGCACTCCATGCAAGGTCAACTGCAGATGTAAGGGGAACTGCATGCAGCCCACCGTGTAAGTTACAGATTTTTAAAATTTGAATGTTATAGTAAGTTAAAAATA